CCCTGCTCAGCAGGGAGTCTGCTTCTCCCTCTGACCCTCCCCCCTCTCATGTGCTCTCTCTCTCTCTCAAATAAATAAATAAAATCTTAAAAAAATAATAATAAAATAAAAAGCTAGTCTTTTTTGGCTTTTTGTCTCTCCTGGCTCAAACTCATGACCCTGAGATCATGCTCTACCAACTGAGCCAGCCAGGCGCCCCTCCACAGGTGTGTTTTTAATACCTTTTCCCTGTGGACCTCCTGGTCTCTGCCAGTTCTTCCTGGCTTTCTGCTTCCATGATTGGCATTACTATTATATCCTAATATCCAGTCCTCTTCTACCTATGATTGCATTTCCCCCAAAGCCTTGAAATTAAATCTGGCCATGACTTGCCTTGGCAAATGAAATGTTAGTGGAAATGACCTATGTAACCAACTCTCCAGCCCACTGTGCTAAGAGGTGACTGGGTAAGCATGTGGTAAATATACAAATGCCATGAGATCAAAACAATCTGGGATTCTGAGGCTGGAGAACAGCTGTCTGGAGAATAGCCAAGATCCACAGTAGACTTTGGGTGAACGCTGGGGTTTGGGGTTGTTTGTAATCGCAGCATGACCTAATCTATCTTGATCAATCTCTCACCTTCACTGGGCTCTCACATGGCTGCTTTGCGGCAATGATTGGACTTAATCAAGACCCATGTGTGGCCTTCTCTGAAACCACGATTAAAAAACCAGATGATTTTCCAGTAATAAGGTAGAAATTTAAATATTTCTTAACTTCAAGGATCTCAGACGTAGGTGTCCCTCTGTAGTATTTTGTCTTCTCTTCAGTAAAGATAATCTAGGTGGTAAAGGTAAGTCTTCTCAACCCATTCTAGGTTGCCTCTGTCTTACTTTCAGTAAACAGCCGTCAGGGGTCATGTCAATAACATCTATGTTCTGGCCTGTACCTCTTCTTGTGAGAAATCCAAAAAGCTTTCAGATGTTTGAATGTATTCTGATCTGGGGTACATATGATAGCTATCGCTACCCAAAATTTCATATGTATTTAGTAAGGAGTAGGATTTATATCTTTACATCTTACCTTTTAAATTTCAATGAAGCCCCTTGGAAACAGAACCAGTACTAACTCCATGATGCTCAGCTCAGCATTACCTTGGCCTAAATCCGGGTTTCTAAACCGCAGCACTATTGACATTTTGGGCAGGGTAATTCTTTGCTGTGGAGAGTTGTCCAATGCATTGTAGATGTTGAGCAGCATCCCTGGACTCTACCCACATCCCTGCCAATAGCACACCCCAGTCATGACAACCAAAAATGTATCTAGACATTGCAAAATCACCCCCATTTGAGAACTACTGGCCTAAAATGAAGGTATATGTTTGTGATAGCTATTGCCAAATGATGACAATTTAAAAAGCTAATTAAGCTTGTAAAAAATTATCAAGATCCATATTTAAGAACAGACACAGTGGATATTTTAATGAGCAATGGTCCTGCCATTCTTTATTTCTAACAATAATACATATTTACAGAAAAAAGAATTGTACATTTTAAATTCTGATCATTATACAGATTTGTTGTTGCAATTGAATAATAAAAGAACGAATCTCTTAGTGACTTTTTCAAAATAACTTCAGTGTTCAAAGGTACAAATGATGATACCATAAACTTTCAATAGCTGGAGGAAGCTCACTTCAAAATGAAAGACACCTAGCACCAGGAAAAGAAATGAAGCAATATCACTGGAGACAGGATCTCTTAGGAAATCTGACCTGAAGCTCTGTTTATCATAGATTCACTATCCAATCTTCAACCTACATTTTAGAAACTTGGGTGAAAAAGTACATGAAGGAAAATCTCCATAGGTTTTTGTTGGGTTAGAAGACTTTAGCTTTTAAAGAAAAACAAGTGAATCAGTTTTTCCCTTTATAAGGCCTTGAAAAAAAAGGCATCTTGAGGCGCTATAAAGAAAGTGAGTGAAACTTTTTTGTTAGTAGTCAACAGCTTCAAATACTGGTTTTCATCCTGACCCTCCGTCCCCTGCTTTACTGAGAAATAATTGATATAGATCAGTATATAAGGTTTAAGGTGTACAGTATGATGGTTTTGTTTATGGTTTTCACTTTTTAAAACAATGAATTATAAATTCCTTTTTATAAAAGGTTAAAGGCACAGTGAAACAATGAATATTTGCACTTCACCCTTTTAGAACTCAAAATAATTCAGAAGGCAAAATAATTCAGGCGGCCAGCAAGTCATTTGCCCTGTAGGTGGCAAAATTATCCCAAGAGGAATACAGGGACAGGTTGCAGTATTGCTGCACTTAGGTTAATAGTGGTAGATGACTTTTTAAAGCTTTACTTAAAATCCAGGTTTTCAAGTTTTGAAGTTTTTTCAAGTTTTACAGATTTAAAGATGCCTTTTGTGTGGTTCTGAACTAACGAAGATTTACTTTCTGTACTCATGCTCAGAAATATATTGTTTTACTTTTTAGGGACTAGATTTTCAGTCTGATTATCTCTGAAAAATCCCTCTCTTTTTGCACTTGTTGTCCAGCGGGTTTTGCTTTATTGGACGACCCATCCAAATTGCAGGACAAGAGCTTGTGAAATTAAAAATCTGTTCTTACTTGTCTGCAGCTGTGAAAAGCAAGCTTGAAACCAGTATCTAAAAGGGAGGGAAGAAGGCCCTCAAGATTTCGTCTGGTTTTGCGTTTTTCTAATCTCACAGTGGATGGCAGAATAGTAAGCAAGTCTTTAAAGAATGAATGGATAATTTATTATAAAGAATTGGTGACACCGTGATTATGACTACATTTATGTGTAAGGAACAAAGTTCATAAATGATGACAATTAAAAAGCTAACTACAACCAAATATTTTATCCTCAGTTGTTATCACTAGTCTTCATAGCTTCCTTTGCTTGCTTACACTGGAGACGTCATTCTACATCCTGGATTCGTCATGAAAGAGACAGATATGAGAAACAGAGCCATCAGATAACCACTTGCTGTAAGCACTGAATATATAGTTATTTGAAGAACTCAGACTAAATGGGGGATAGAAGGGAGAGAGTATAGTATGTTATACCAGTATTTTGTGGAAATCCTGATATAGTATGACTTTTAAAAATAGAGAATGGGAAGAGCAAATGAAAAAAATTTAATTGTTTCAGTAATCGTATCGGTGGTAGTCATATTAGCATTGTTATTCTGAGGCTGCTGCATGTGTACGGTAAATAAAGGAAATGAATAATTGTGGGATATTCTAACTCTATCATGCCTTGTGTCCTTGAAAACCAGGATTCTCAGTATAGAAAATGGAAATATAGTTGTAATAGAAAGGATTAAGTAAAAACTCTGTAGTACTCAATTTGATTTGGAAGTTTCACAATAAACTCACAAAGTGTTTTATCTTATTAAAAAAATAGAGATTTCTAGCTCTCTCCTAGAAACAATGGCCAATGTAATAGCAATGAGCATCCTTAGAGCCTTGATTATGGTTTTGCAATACCATTTCTCACTAAAAGTAGCCAGGCTTCTTAGAGAAATGGCTCATTCCAGGTCTGGGGCAGGAAACACACAAGTTGGGCCTGGAATATCTTGTCTTCTGAGATAGCAAGGAAGCTAATACAGACAGCTAGTGTAATGTCAAAATGACTCAGAGGCAACTTGGTGAGGCTCCCAAAGGCCAAAGGTGGGACAATTTGAACTTCAATAAGGTAATATTTTAAATGGGTTGAAGCCTATCAAATATGTTTGAACCCATGAGTTCATAATACCGAAAAAAGGAAGTGATCTCTGGAAGGTAATAGGAAACAAGTTTATTATCTTGAAAATTAGTACATGAAAGGAAAATACAAATATTTACCTTCCCTTTCCTGTACAAACTTGACCAGTGGTTAACCAAATAGTATATGTGGGGAAACATCTCTTTATAAAAATGTTCCAGTTAATAAATGAAAGAGAGATGATAGAATTAGAATATCCTCTACCTCACAATAAATCAATGGATCTAGTATTATCAATTTCAGCTGACATCACAAAGAGAGAGAACCAGATATTGTGTGCCCTCTGATGAAAGAACACACCATGACCTATAGTCTTGCCAAAAAGGACTGAACCTGAGCCTTCAAACATCTGGATCCATGTGTCAGTATCCAGAGGAAAGAGGAATGTGCTGAATTGCGCCATGAATACACAATCAGCAAAATACGGATTGTGGGAAACTCTATAGGCCATGAGACCAAGTTCTTTAGTAAATTCTAAGGAAAAGAAAGAAGAGAGAACCTATAGATTAGATGTAGCCAATAAAACAATTTTAAATGGATAAGATTAAAATACAGTGTGTACAGATACACACTTGGGTAATAATAAAGAAATGCAAGGAAGTGATTATAATGGGTATCACTGTAGTGGTTAGTTACTTCTGTGGAATTTGGGAAGATGGTTGGTAACTGTGACTGGACACACAGAGGACAACCAGAATGGCTGGCGGAGTTCTAAAACAGTGTTTCCTTATAATGATGTAAAAAGCTACATTTTGTTTGGTTTTCAGTATTTATATTTTGTATTTTTTCTAAAGGAAAAAAGTAAAAAAAAAAGCAAAGCCCTTAGGGTTTTCCACTAAAAATTATGGATGTGAACACTTCTACTATAAATATCAGCTGAAGGTTTTTAAGAAAATTGCCTATATTATAGAAATATTTCTAAATAATAAGCTACAAATATTTGAAAAATATAATATTAAATTCTTATTGTGCATAGTTATAAAAAGTCAAAGAATTAAGTATACATCCCTAACACAAAATGTATTTTGTTACAGTATTATATTTTACAATTTGGTTAAGTGGACTTTGTTGACTTCCAAAATTTTGGTTTCACTCTCCATCTTTTTAGATAGAACAAAGATTAGTTATCTTGCTCAACCATGATAGTAGTTATTAATATGTAGCATTACACATACTATCATCCAATTTGCAAATAAAGATCCTTCACCCACATATCCTGCCTGATGTTCTCTTCCATATATTAATGGCTGATGGAGACTATTTTTTGTTGTTCAGTGTCTAAAAAACTCAAGAATGTAAAACAGATTTAAGCCATCAAAATGAAAGCAGTTTTAAAACGCGATATAACAATAAACATGGACAAACGTATAACAGTGTTGTACATTTTTGCCCATCGAACATTTACAATTGCCCTCCAATTGTTCAAGCAGCATCTTAACGAATGGTGCAATTCTATGGTCTCCTTCCCTTTCCTTTTAATTAAATTATGTGGTGTTTGAGTGATTCACATATTCCAGAAGTGACCGGTCTAAGACCCTTCGGATAAGAGCTTCCTCAATTATATTAAAATCCTACAATAAAGAAAAATAATTAGAAACATATAATCAGAGATGATAGTTTTCAGCAACTGGAGGAAACGGGTCAAAGCAGTGCCCCATTTTGCAAGAAAGTAGAGCCCTGAATTTAGTGACCTAAGTTTCCACAAAAACTGTCCATAAACCCCAGGACTTCTGTTTTGGGGCCTGTGCATTTTCAATTTAATTTTACTGCCTAACGATTGACTAGTTATTGTCATAGTAAAATAGTCTTGATTTGGAATTTAAATTAGTAATTTTAGTCAACCTTATAAATTGTGGTGAGGGTGCTATGTTCCAAATAAACATGTAATATGGATTAAAGTCTAGACATTCCCCTAGAAATCACCAATCTCAGCAGCACTACTGAGTATCTATTTCTGAAAAATATATTGAACACAAAACTCTCTTTCTCCCTGCCTCCCTATGGTCAAAATGGCTTTCAAAACTTTAAGTCAGCATATTCTGTAAATAAAACAAAAACTATTAAGAGCCCTATTCTCTGCAATCCATCTCCTCTTCTGCAATAAATCGAAAAAAAAAAAAAAAAAACACAGTCTCTCTTGGAAATCCATTCTGAAAGCATAAAGGCAAATCAACAAAATCCAAAGGAAAGCCATAAAGCCCAGAAGAGCACAAGATCTGGACTGAATCCTGGCTTTTTCTTTGGCAATTAACCTTTGAGCTTCAGATGTTTCATAGCTAAGTGAGGATAATAACACAACACTCACTTCACGCAAGTTGCTGTAGGAATAAAATGAGATAATATACTTAAAGTGCACAGTATAATACTTCGCAGCTTGGGAAACCAAAGTCAAAACACATAATATGGCTTCCACCTCACTTCCACATCCAAGGATACAGTTTTGAGTGGGCTGAAAGTACTCTCATCAGTCTTGCTTCCTCCTGACCAGCCCTGGATCATACTTTGGAAAATCTTGAGAAGAATGGACTGAACATGAATAGCCAGGACAGATATGAAATCAACCTGGTTTTTAGAACATCTTATGGAGCTAAGGTAAAGAGGAAGCCCTATGTGTTGTAAAAAATTGAGTACAAAGAGACCAGAACCAGCCTCTGTTGAGGCCCTGTGTGCTTTAGAGGGCCAGAAAAGACATTATTTGAGTGTTGGAGCCCGCTCAACTCTTCAAGTGGTCCTAGTACCTCCATTTATCCTCTCCCCATCTCCAGATGGCCTAACATCCTTGCCCAAACTGTGCAAATCACTTTACACGCACTATTGCATTTAATCCTCAACAAGAGCTTTGGGCACGAAGTGCTTTTAATCTCCTTACTTAACACATGAACAGACAGACTCAGTGGTATTTAACAGAGCTGTGACTGAGACAGAGCTGTTACTCAAACCCAGGTCAGAACCCAAGCTCCTTGTGTTGAATCTGGATAACCATAGTGGGCAGATCAGAAAGCAGGGAGAACATTTTCAAAGGACGATCTTCAACAATTATTAATTTCTATCTTGAAATTGCAAAAAGACAGCAGTCAAAAATCATGTGAAAACTATATGCAAAGTTAAATTTAGCCCTTAACATTTCATGTATTTAGATAGCGGTAACAGTAAAATATACTACTTAACAACATGGCTATGAGGGATTTTCCTTCCATAATAGGCAATACCCCTTTGCTCAAAGGGACTCAGGAGATAACACATTACCCTCACATGGCAACACGTGGAGCAAAGCAGAACAAAGGCTACATTAACTTTTCGCTTGTTATTCTCATTCCTGATCATGGGAAATACAGTCATAAGTTAGAACTATTCATACTACATCTAACTTTTCTTCCATCCCCCCCCCCAAAAAAATTATTGGGTTGTGGGAGGGGGAATGGGAGGAAGGGGGTCAAAAGGTACAAACTTCCCCTTATAAGTTAATTAAATACTGGGGATATAATGTACAACATGAAGACTACAGTTAACACTAATGTATGGTATATTTGAAAGCTGATAAGAGAGTAAATCCTAAAAGTTCTCATCACAAAAAAAATTTTTTTTGGTATCTATAGGTATCTATAGGAGACGATGGATGTTAACTAAAATTACTGTGGTGATCATGTCACACTATATAAGTCAAGTCATTATACTGTATACCTTAAACTTACACAGTGCTACATGTCAATTATTTCTCAATAAAATGGAAAGAAAAAATATAATGAGATTGGCCATTAGTTGGTAGTTATTGATGGGTAGTTACTGATAATATGGGGGTCCGTGGTAGTGTTTTGTCTGCTTTTGTATATGTTTATAATTTTTCATAATACAATTTTTTCAGTTTAAAAACATGCAATAGACATGAGTTTTGTGTCTCATGGAGTTTAATATTTTTAAATAAAACATGAGGCCTGTGTGTCTTACTGCGTAACTGTTATTAGCCATTCAATGTGCTATAATAGCAACGGGATGCAGAACAAACTCTGGGCCATTTCATTACTGATGTGATTTCATCTCATTTCAGCTACATAAGTTTTAAGCTTCATAAAAATTAAAACTATATATAGGGAGGGGAATAGAGTAGAAATTAAAATAATTCGAAAGTGAAATCTAGTACCTTATACAATGACTATCTAGATCACAAAGAAAATAATTTTCTCTAAGGCAGATAATATCAATAGTCAGGTTTATAAACATTATATTTTTATAATTTCCTACTTAATGCTGATACTTAACTTCAGGTCCATACACATTTTTTTCTGCTATATTTATATTTTATTCACTTATATTTAAAAAGGTAAGCTTAACACACGCCACATAGAAACATAATGTGAAAGTAAAAAAATATACTTACTATGAAATCATCATAAAACAAAGTGTGACTGACTTGCAAATGTCTTATTAAACTGCCACTAAAGCTTCCTGGATTCTCATTAGGTAGTAAACGGCAAAGTGGACAGAACTGGAAAAGAAAATCAGGAGTTCAAGAAAGAATTTAAAATAATCAGTGTCAAAATTAAAAAATTAAATAACTATTCAACAAGTGAATTTTAACTTTATGAATCTATTGGCCATTCCTCAGCATAATATTTAAAAACTGCATAAATATTAACCAAATAAAATTGCATTTATTTCTTCATAGGCATTTCCTGTACTTAACAGTATAGCTATTTATTTCATATTTATCAATCTATTATTTAAACAATATTGCAGTTAGTAGATGTAGCATAATTTATTTAATTAGTTGCCTCCCTCTTGAAATACTTAATGGCTTTAAAAAATAACCTTTTTCATTTTCAAGTATTTGTAAACTCATGAGAAATTACAAAAATAATGCAAGAGGTCCCTTGACTCCATCATCCAGCTTCCCCAGTGGTAATACCTTATAAACTGCAGTACATTATCGAAACCAGGAAATTGGCAATTAACTAGACTACAAGCCTTACTTAGATTTTACCAGTTTTTGCATGAACTCAGTTTTTTGGGTTTGTGTGTAACATATACCCCTAAAGTAGTATATGATAAAGAAAGAGGGCACCTGGGTGGCTCAGTTGGTTAACCGTCTGCCTTCGGCTCAGGTCATGATCTCAGGGTCCTGGGATCGAGCCCCATGTCGGGCTCCTTGCTTGGTGGGGAGTCTGCTTCTCCCTCTCCCTCTCCCTTTGCCCCTACCCCCAATGCACGTGTGCTCTCTCTCTCAAATAAAATCTTTAAAAAAAAATACACTACTTTATTACATTTTTTTTTTTACTGCTTTATTACAATTTATCCTAGGGTTTTTTAAAATTCTATTTCTTCACGTTTTCATTTTTTAAAATATGAGATGCAGAATCATTACTGAGGGCCAGGTATGTGTCAGGCATTAAATTAGGTAGTATTCTTGGGGCGCCTGGGTGGCTCAGTCGGTTAAGCGTCTGCCTTCGGCTCAGGTCATGATCCCAGCGTCCTGGGATCGAGCCCCGCATCGGGCTCCCCGCTCAGTGGGAAGCCTGCTTCTCCCTCTCCCACTCCCCCTGCTTGTGTTCCCTCTCTCGCTCTCGCTCTCTCTCTGTTAAATCAATCAATCAATAAATAAAAATCTCTAAAAAGAAATAGATTTCCTCCTTAAAAAAATGAAAATTAAAAAAAAAATTAGGTAGTATTCTTATTTGACCCTCACAACAACCTAGTGAATTAATGATTGTCCTATTTCTTTCATGAACTCAATTTCAGAAAGGAAAAAAAATTAGCTTAAATTTATACCACTGTAAGTATCAGAACTGGGATCTAGGCCTCCTAATAGACAATTCAATATTCTTTTCATATTATAACAGTGCTTAATTTATCTGTTTGGATGGTAACATCTTGCTTTAAATTTAAATGAGGTCTTTATGTACTTCTTATTGTTTTAGGGGGGGTCTCAGTTTCAGTATGCTCAATATCTATACATAGTTTAACTTCTGAATTTTGCTCTAGTCCATTAATATGTCTTATTTTTAATAAAATTACATCATTTCAGTTATTATCGCTCTATAGTCATTTATGATTTTCTAATGCTCTAGCTATCTTGGTTACTTGGCAACACTGGCTATCCCAAGATAGACACCTGTGTAGTAATGAGAACACAGCTGAGACCAAGAAATACCTGAACAAAAAAGCAACATTAATTTTTTTGTGATGTGAAAGAAGGGACACTAGTTATAGAAATTTGTTCACTTAGTACTCTTTACGATACCTCTACTACATGCTGGGCACCTGGAATATGGAAACCAGTGAAGATACAGTTGTGTTGCATGGTGGGGAGCCTTCAAATCCCAGCACCAGCTCTGCCGAGCTGTGTGACTGACCTTCAGCACATGAACTTCCCTCTTCAGTCAAGTGGAGATACCACCACCTAACTTGTAGAGTAGCTATGATGTTTAGAGAGAATGTCCTCCATGTGCCGGGTACATACTAGGCATTTGATAAACACCACGTATTTACTACTATTTGATCCTTGTTCGTGAATAGCTGGAGCTCCATGAGGAAGAAACTCCAGGTCTCCTATTCGCTCCTGCATGCCCAGTACCTGGAAAACAGTTTCCAATTTCATCTCTGCCTCTCACTGACTTAGCCTTGGCAAGTAATTAATCTTATCCTGCAAAATGAGAATTAGCTGATTTGCAGAGCTGTTTGTATATTTAAAAGGTGTCATTTAACATTATGAAGCTCAGTCATTATATTAGCTCAGCCCTTGGCACAAATGATAAATGGTTGCTATTGTTATCACGTAAGCAGATACTTTCAATACTGCAAAGCAAGTGCCATACCCAAGATGTTACAACATATAGTCAAGTGTTATACTCAAAAAGGCAGTTCAAGACCTAAAAAGGGAATCATTAATTTTGCCCAGCAAATCAGGAGAGGCTTCAGCCAAGCTGCCGGTAACTGAAATGAGTCTTGAAGAAGGAGCCAGCAGTGCCAGAGTGAGGAGCATCACAGGCAGAGAAATCAATGCACAAAGGACAGGCCTGCTTAGGGAATGGGAAAAGCTCTGGGAAGCTGAAGGTAGGGCATGTCGAGGGAAGTGGTGGGAGATGAGTTTGGAAGGGTAAGTTGGGACCAATTCTGCTCAATAGATATTTATTTGAGCACCTACTATGGTTTCTGTAGGCCCCATGTCAAGAGTCAGAGGTACAGAGATGCTAAGCCCTGACCCAACTATGAAGGAGATTCCAGATCTAGTGAAGGAGAAAGATAACAGAAAACCTGGAACTTTAAGCAAAGTAGTTTTTGTTTTTAGTCTGATGTTGATAGGAGCTAGTGGAGACTTCGGTCTTCTGCTGTACATATTTAGTTGTGTAACTCAAGAGATTTCTTCCAGAAGAACATTGGAAAACAACAGGTGAACATCTATACTACTCTAAGGGTTTATTTTGTGTCCTAAAGTGAGGGATCTGACCTGAGGGAGGAGAGGGTAAGAAGAGGAAGAGAAAGAAATGGTAGGAGGCTGACTAATCATCGCCAAGTACCTAAGTGTTACCTATACTCTCACTAACGTTGCCAATTTGCTACCATCAGCTCATCCTGTATTATGCACCTCCACTCAATGCTCCCAGGCCATGATACTCATATTAGGAATCAATCAATGCACAGTGTATATTCAAAAGATGCTGACCTCATCTCAATATGGACTTTATCTGATGGTGAACTCCACGGGTGAAAACAGCCACCATATCAGAAGTTACCACCAACTTCAATCCTTCAGAACATCTATTACAAGGGACACCCAGTTCTATATGTGGTTTAGATTAACCTCCACAGCAACTATCTGATGGCAAGTGCCATTTGGGAAAGAAATTTAAAATTCCTGAATCCAAAAAAAGAGAAAAGAGACATGCACTGAAAATAATTACAGGCAAATATGTAACCAAAATTAAGGTACCAGATTGCACATCTAATTTAGCAAGAGTCTGAAAGCAAATTTAATAAAGATTTTTTTCTTCCTTCCAAAACATTTATGCACATACACTCCCACTGCCCAGTCGAGTCACAGATATTCTACATACCGACAGAAATAAACCACTGTGGGGCAGGTGGCTCAGGCTCTAGTCACCACAGTTTATGTTCCAAACCAATAAAAGTCCTGTTCCTTCCCTTAAGGAATGAATCTCGGGAGCAGGCAGAAAATAAAGAGACTACTGGAACCTTTGAATCTGGGTGAATGGAATTATGTTTTCCTTTAATATCTTATTTTTCATAATCACTATATCCTCCTATGCGCTAGGTTCTCTGCCAAGAGGTGGGCAGGCAGTGTTGAACAAAGAAGTTCCATGACTTCATGAGCCTGATACCTTACAGGGAGAGGCAGACCTGAAACGAACCCACAATTACAAATTGTGATAAATGAGAAAAAAAGAGGGGAGGAAAGCAAGAGCTGAAAGTAATTTGGATGTCAGGGAGGGATTCCTTGAGGAAGAAAGATTTAAGCAGAGTTCTAAAGGATAAATATGAGCCAACCACTGAAAGAAAGAGCACTCTGGGCAGAGAGAATAGCCAGAAAGTGTGGCTCTTGCTGAAACATCTTCCCTCTCCAAAACAAAATACCAAATTTCTCTCAAAAGTGGTCTCTCAATTCAATCTGAAGCATGCTGCTTATGTCACTGGCCTCCTTTGAGTTTAATATTCCACAGAGGCAAATTTTCAAAAAATAAAACATGGCAGGGGCGCCTGGGTGGCTCAGTTGGTTAAGCCTCCAATTCCCAATTTCGGCTCAGGTCATGATCTCGGGATCTTGGGATCAAGCCCCATGTTGTGTAGGCTCGGAGCTCAGGGAGGAGTCTGACTCTCTCTCCTCCCTCTCCCTCTGCCTGCCCCTCCCCCCTGCTCCCATGAGTGCTCTCTCTCTCTCTAAAATAAATAAATACTTTTAAAAAAATACAACATGGCAGAATATAATTACTACGTGACAAAAAGGAGCTGTCGGTTCTTAAAGCTGCAAGTAAGAAAAGTCACAATTTCTTGATGTTCTTAATCTACTACCCCAGTCTTGAGCAACTCAGAAAGAAAAGATTAGTGGCTCGTGGTTCGATTTCTGAATTATCTAATTTTATCTAGAAGGCAGAATCATTTGCTCAAATCTCTAACTGCCATGAAACTTCTTACACCACATTAAGTCAGATGAGGTCACTGATCTTATCTGTAAGCAAACCCAACAACCCAGCCCCTCAAAGCAATAATTCCTTGCTAATTTCCACACCAACCCAGAATCAGCCTTGGACTTAGGACTTCACCTGGGGTATTTTCACCAGCATGCCCCCATTGGGGATTCCTAAGCATGTGAACCCCAAATATGCCACAGTATCTACTTCCTGCCGTTTCATAACCAAAGCGTGTATCCTGAATTCTAGTGGTTCTAGATCCTTCAGAGTGACACGTGGCCCGAGTTTCTACTCAAGCATGAAACATTAACAGGAAAACTGAAGGTTTTCTGTTCTAGAGAGCACCTCTAGACAGCCCTCATGTATTACAGAACCACAAATTTTGTGAACAATCTGCTCCTGCCTCAAGGCCACGATAGCATCCTGATCTTTGGAAATTCACCACTTCACTCCCCCACCCTTCTGGCTTGGGTTCCCCAAATGCGATAGTACATGGCTTCCTCAAAATCTCCAATAGCCTTGGTTTTATGTAGTTGCAAAAGTGGTAGTAGCCCACTCATTTACTGCTACCCTGTGAAAATGGGATCATTATCATTATCATCCCCATTTTACAAATGATGAAACAGAGGCAAAGACATTGGTGGGATTTGCTGGGATTGGTACCAAAGTTTATCTCCTCCAAAGCCTAGGTTTTTGACTATTAATTCTATGGGCAATCTGATCCCACCATTCCTGGTTTATTTCTGCCCTTAGATCCACTTTCTTCAGTTCCTTCTATTACCTCTAAATCAAGCAAGACCTAGCTTCCATGAGCCACCTTCAATCTGATGGCCAAACTGAGCAGCATGGGGACTGGATTTCTGCTGGAGCAGGTACACAGTACCAATGGACAGACTGGCACATGACCTGCCCCAGAGTGCTGCTATGATGCAGCCCAAGACCATGCTCCAAAGCACCTGGTGTTCCTCCAGCCAGAGAAGCACTGGGTACTCCTAGCACTGGGTACTAGTGGTTAGGGCTCAGGTTGTGTGGATAATACCTTCTGACGGTTGCTAGGAGGCAAAGAAGCACTTAGAAGTGGGTAAATGGTCGCTATTATTATGCCATCCTAACTCTTCCTTCTAACTTCCTCTAGCTCCCCAGAGACCCAACATAAAACAAAACAACTAGAGCAGTAAAAGCCCATGATAATCTCCCCTGCTCTCCCAACACATATCAAGCCATTCCAAGAACCAAAACCCCTAAACCATTAGGATCAATAACAAATACTTTGACTCTACTGTGCGGCTTCTCTTGTGAACTTGCTAGTAGAGCTCAGGGGTTCACCATGCTCTGGAGCTGGACTATTGTGTTCGAATTGTGGCTCAGCTACTTAACAGCTGGTGACCTTACAAGACTTAGGTAACCTCTCCCAGCCTCAATTTATTATTTGTAAAATGGAAGTAATCACACCTATCTTCTACGATTGTTGTGAGAACTATCCTTGTTTGTAAATATCTATCTATCTATATCTATCTATCCAATATAACTATGTTTCAATCTCATCACTTTCCAAGAGGATTTTATAGGAAAAAAAAAAACGCTTAAAACTCAAATTTAAAAAACCAAAACTCCTGGGGCACCTGGGTGGCTCAGTCGGTTAAGTGTCTGCCTTCAGCTCAGGTCATGATCCTAGGGTCCTGGGATCAAGCCCCGCATCGGGCTCCTGGCTCAGTGGGGAGCCTGCTTCTCCCTCTCCCCCTGCTCATGCTCTCTCTCTATCTCTGTGTCTCAAATTAATAAATAAAATCTTTAAACAAAACAAAACAAAAAAAACACACCAAAACTCCTATCTATGTAAACGACACACATACACATATATGTTTGTGTATATAAATATATACACACATATACATACATATATAAAAATATATACATATACATATTTATACCATAAAACTAAAATAAAATTCAGAATAATCTTCGAGGTATCATTTTATATCTGCTAAGCCTCTTACTTTAATTTTAAAATAAATGCACCCAATATTAGCCAGGTTAAGGTGAAAGTGGTTTACTCCTAAATTGCGGACACAAATATAAATTGAGTCAACCTTTTTGGAATGCATTTAGAAGTATATTTCAAGAGCTATTAAAAAGTTTGCACTTTCTTGGTCCCAGAAGATAAATCTAAGGAATTTCCTCTTAGGAAAAAATCCAATAGAAGGAAAAGTTCAAATGTACAATATGAATTCAAATCCTAAAATTGGTAACAAGTGTACAAAAAATAGTAAAATGGCTAAGTAAATGAGGAGGTACCCAGCACCACCCTGCTTTCCCTCACAACTATACAAAAATGAAAATTATCAAAGCCACACGGCAAAGTAGAACTAAAATGCCAGGCTGAAAAGAAAAAAAAAGGAAGCATCACAATGAACCTAGGAAATGATGAGCAATATGTATATTTAATGTGCAAGCATATGGATAAATACTCAGACTATGAAATAAATAATAGACTGAAAAAGATGAATAACTTTCTACTTTTCATTTCTAGTAAATTGTCATGATAACCCTATTTGCATTATTAAAAAATGTTTTTCACTTAGGATGTGACCACAGTTAGTATGCTAGAGTTGGATCTTAGCTATGTGTTTTTGATCTTCTTAGTTGATTATGCCCATAATTATGTGTAAGAGAGAATGTCTAAGTTCATAAATGAAAGAATGATTGCACATTAGTAATTCTTACCGCTTTCAATTCAACACTTTCTTTTTTTTTTTTTAAAGATTTTATTTATTTATTTGAGAGAGAGAGAATGAGAGAGAGCACATGAGAGTGGGGAGGGTCAGAGGGAGAAGC